GCTGAGCGCGCTCTCGCCCAGCAGCCGACGCTCCACCGCTTAATTATTCGACAAGTACGCGCGGGTTTCTGATCTGCGCCGGAATTTCCAGAGGACGGTGTTCGTCCCGCTGCTCGCCTACGACGAGCTGGCGCTGCGGGCCGACATTGCCCGCGACGCCATGGAGTGGGGCACTATGTCCGCCAAGGACCTGGCCGAGTATTTGGGATTGGTCCTGGGGCTAGGCGCAGGGGGCGCCTCATGGACGGCGCCGCTTGCAAAGATGTCGGGCCGGGCCCAGCTTTGGGGTGCTCTTGGCAAGGGGGGTATCCCACACGCACGAAGCCTTCGGAGATATCGTTGCGTCTGTCGTCGTGTTCGTTGCGCAGCTCCGACCCATGCCAGCTGCTTTCGCAAACGCAGAAACCAAGGCCTGCGCCGAGCTGTTTCCTGCCCCTAGGCTATGGGCGAGCGCCGAGTTTCTGACTCAGCTCCGGGATCTCGGCTTCCCATGCGAGCTGATGGGCGTCCAGTGCGCGTCGATCGCTGCTACGGCTTGCGTGTGTCATTACGAGGACGCCCAGCAGGGTGGCTTGCGAGTGCGGAGATGGGCGCGCCAGCTCCGGAATCGCATGCCTTGAGCTCTTCGCGAGTTTATGCCAGTCCACCTCGAGCGATGGCTGGAGTCGAATATGCTCTTCGTGCTTGAGGCCGCGGAGGAAGGCGCGCACGAGCTCGAGCTGGCGCAAAAACTCCCCTGCACGCGGTCTGCGACGCAGGAGGCCCGGCAACATATGAAGGCCACGCGGCAGGCTGTGCGCTACAATGCCCTCGTGGCCGGCCGCCTGCGAGCCCCAGCGGCCATCTTCATGCGCCGCCGCCTGGACCAATGGGATATTGACGGTGTTCCCGGGGCGCCGGTGCAGCGATTTCGGTCGCGCATGGCGACGCTGAGTTCGTTCGCGCCGCTCTGCGTCATGGCCGCGGCCCTGCGCACCGCCTTCAACGGTTGGGTCACCACGCGGCGTTTCCAGCAGAGTGGACGCTGCGCTTTCTGCTGCGCCTGGGGCGTTGAAAGCATCATGCACTGCGCCCGTTGCAGCTACTACCGCCAGTGGTGCGAGGAGCATTGTAGTCTGTCGCGGCCGACGCCTTCCCAGTGCCTTCTGAATTTCTTGGGCCTGCGCGCTTCCACCAGCTCAGCGCGAGCAGGGGCGGCGCGCGCGCGCGCGTCCAGAGCTCGTCGCCCTTCGGGCAGCGTGCCGCTACGCGCTTTACTGCGCGCTTCGCGGTCCGCCACCGCGCGGCCGAAGTTGCAGACGCCGGAGCGATTCAAAGCGGCGGTCCGCGACGCCTGTTCGGCGGAGCCGATGGGCAGCTTGCTCGCTCGGTCCCGCTCCCGGCCGCGAGCGCTCACGCCCGCGTGGGATGTAGGGTTCGGGGGATGCGAGGATTGCTTTGTTGACGAAGCTGCCCCCCTCCGGCTCCTTGTTGGCCTTGGGCCTCGAGCTTGAGCCCCGGCTCTGTTCTCGCAGTATCTATCTGTCCCGCCCGCGTGGCCGATAGCGCGCGCTCTCGGTGAAGTGCGTCGTCCTGTTCTGGGCGGATGCTCGGGCAGTTGCGCCCCGGGCCGGCGCCGACACCTCTCCCCCTCTTCCCCCTCCTCCTCCTCCCCCTCGCCCCCCTTCCCGCCTCAGTGTTTGCACGAGTGGCGCCGCGCAGCACGGCGGGCGGAGCGCAGGGGCAGGTCCGCGCAGCCCACGCGCCCTGTCCTGCGAGCGCGGCCGAAACTCTGGGCTCTGACTGCCGCCGCGTGGCCGATAGCGCACACTCTCGGAGTCAACGCTGTAGCGCCCAGCTCGGGGCGGAAATTCGTGCAGTTGTGCCCCGTGCCGACGCCGGCCCCTCTCCCTCTTCCCCCTCCTCGTTTCCTTCCTTGTCCTCCTCCGCTTTCTCTCCTCTCTCCCTGACGTCGCGGCCGCGGCTCTGAACCGCTTTTCGGCCACCCCGCTGCGGCCAAGGCGCGCCGAGCCTGGGACATGTCGACTCCGCGGCGCGGAGGGTCGGCCAGAGGATTTATCAATCGAAGTTGGATGCAGCTTCGCACGCTGCGTTCGGAGTCCGCCGAGTCCGTCGAGAACGGCTCGCAATCCTCTCCCCTCTCGTCTCTTTCCTCCCTCACTTTCTTCCCGGAGGCGGAAAGCCGGCTCGCCCTGTTGGGGTTGACCTGCCTTCTCTCTCCTCTGCCTGTCTCGTCCTCGCTCCCCTTCGAATTCTGCCATTCGGAACTCCAGATTTGGACCGCGGAGGGCTGGTAGTCGGCGCGGCGCGCATCGGATCTCGAGGCTCGGCCAGCCCCTCCCCCTTTGTCTTTTCCTCTGCCGGCTTGCGCCGTTGAGGCACCGGCGGGCCGGGACCAATGGAACGTATGGAGGTTTCGAGGCCGTTGATGTCCGTCTTGCCTTGAGCGTTTCGTAGGTGCGCGCAGTCTTCCCTCTTCTCCCCCGCCTCCTCCCCATCCTCCTCCTCCTCCTCCTCCTCCTCCTCCTCCTCCTCCTCCTCCTCCTCCTCTCCTTCGGTAGTTTGCTTGACGCGGTAACTTTAGCTACTTCATTTCATGTTATGTTTGTCGCGATTTCCTATTGTACCTTCCGTCGCGGTTTGGCTTGGCGTCGTGGTTGGGGCCACCTCTCAGGCTCGACCTTCCCGTGCCAATTTCGTTTCAAGGTCGACGATGTTCCCGCCGAAGGCGATAGCATAGCTTGAATCGGGCTTCAAGCGCAGTTCCACTGCCCTCCTGCCCTTTCGCTCCTGCTGATTCTCCCCTCGTCCCCTCTTCCGCCCCGTTGGAGTTGAAGTTGTGTAAGCGATTTTTCGGCGGTCACACGGCCAAATCATGTGGGCCCCCAGGCTGACAGGCAGACGGGCGATGATGCCAGTGCTTTCTTTGCCCTCTCTCCAGTTCCCCCTCTCCTTCGCCTCCTGCTCCTCCGCCGCTCGCCCGGGCAATTCTTGTCACGGGTGGCCCCCTTGCGTTTCCGTCTCGCTTCCAGTGGGGAGCAGGATTTGTCCGTGCCCGCGGTTGTCGACCACAAGGTGTATATCACTAGTTCTGTCCGTTCCCATCACCTGCTCCTCCCAAATGAGACTCGCTCAGGAATTCTACACAGGCGTCGCCCCCTCGCTTGAGGCACCCTGACAATCTACCCGGAAGTCGCCCGCACATCACTCCGGAATCGTGCTCTCGCCCCTGACTTCTCACAGCCAGCACATCTGCTGCCGCGCCGTTTGTTCCCGCGCGCGGCCTTGCGTCCTTGGGAGCGCGCCGCGGCCACCAGGGCAAGCGAGGCCTCGGGCGCGCTGGGCTCGCCGAGGTTTTGCCGTGGTGCCCGCGTCGTCCCTTTCGGCGCGTCGAGAACAAATGCTGCGGCGACATGTAAGGCATCGCGCCCTCGCGGGAGGGTCCTTGGCAGTGCGCCCCCGGTGTTGCGCCCCTGCCTCTCCGGAGAGGCGCGCCCTCGCCCGGAGGGAATCCCGCGCGACCTGCCGCGGAAACCACGCTGCCGATTACCCCAGGATCGGGCCACCGATGCCGATGCCGACGCCGATGCTGACGCCGACGCCGATGCGGAGCTGGGCTACAGCCAAGGCGCTGAAGCAGGGACCGCTTTGGGCTCGGGAGCGGCTCGGGGTTTTCGGGCAGAGCTCGGTTGGCGAGCCTTGCCGTTTTGGACGCCCGAAATGGGTACGGAAAGAATGGGTACAATGCCCAACAACAAATGTTGTCCCAAGCCCACAGCGGCCGCTGTTGGGCAGGCGGCCTTCTGTCTCGAATGGACACAGGCCGCGGCGGCGTGGACAGCGAGTCCTGTTCAAAATGAACGAGATCCGCTGTTGGGCATTGTGCCAATTCTTTCCGTGCCCATTTCGTTCGTGCAAAGCCGTGGCCGAGGCTCGCCGTGACCAGGAGAGCGCCGCCGTTCCTGATTCAGCGTTCCTCATGGTAGCATTAAGTCGGGCCTGTCCCTCTACAGGAGCTCACAATCGATCTCACAAAAGTTCTCACGATCGATCCACACAAGATCTCACTATCGATATCACTATCGATCTCACCGCCGCGCCACCGACGGGGCACCTCGCGCCACCGACGGGACACCCCGCGCAACCGACGGGGGCGGGGCGGACAACCAGCTCCACAGCCCCTAGCCACGGCGCCATCATTCCTCTCGCGCGCCCACGCACCTTCGCCTCGCCCGCACGCACGAGACGAACACGACACCGAAACCGATTTCCAGGTGGGAGACTTTCCGCTCCATTGCGATCTCACGCCCTCACCTCCGACGAATTAGACGCTGACCAAGATAGACAGTAACCAAGATCGACACCGATGTTTCTGCGTTCAGTCTTGGTCATGGTCATATTTTTCTTACCCTCCGCTTTCGTCCTTCTGCACATCGCTACACATCAGTCCAGGAATCGCGATCTCGCCAGGGTGCAGGTTGTTTCGCGGGGCTCTTCTCCGCGAAGGTGTTGTTGCTGGTCGCGGTTTCCAAGAGCCCTTGGAGCCTGAACCTCTTGCCGCCGGCCGTGGGCCTCCACCCTCTTCCACAGATCTCCAACGGTATGATTCAATGATATTGCCTGACATTTCGCTGCAGTCCCACCGCGAAGCGACGACGACTACGATGACCACGACGACCACGACCACGACGACGACCACGATGCCGACGACCGCGACGACGACAACGCCGACGACCGTGGCGACGACGACCACGACGACGACCACGACGCCGACGACCACGACGACGACCACGACGACGACCACGTCGACGACCACGTCGACGACCACGACGACCACGACCGTGACCACGGACGGCCATCACCACGGCGACCACGACGACCACGACGTCCACGACGACCACGTTGACGACTGCGACGACCTCGACGACGACGGCGGCGACGACGACACGGCGACGACGACCACGGTCGCGACGACGACGGTCGCGACGACGACGGTGCAGGCGAGCAGCACTCGGCCGAGCACCTCGAGGGGAGCGACGGGGCCGGCCAGGCGCCGGCGGCCCACAAGCTCAGGGCAGAAGGACAGACCGAAAGGCACGGAGGAGGGAGGAGGCAGGAGGCAGGAGGCGGAGGGGGAGGAGGAGGAGGAGGAGGAGGAGGAGGAGGAGGGGGAGGAGGAGGAGGAGGAGGAGGAGGAGGAGGAGGAGGCGGGGGAGGAGGAGGAGGAGGAGGAGCAGGAAAAGGAGGAGGAGGAGGAGGAGGAGGAAGGAGGAGGCGGAGGCGGAGGCGGAGCAGCAGGCGGGGGAGGAGGAGGAGGAGGAGGCGGAGGCGGAGGCGGAGGCGGAGGCGGAGGCGGTGGCGGAGGAGGAGGAGGAGGAGGAGGAGGAGGAGGAGGAGGAGGTCCGTAGCCATTTTGGCTCAAGCCGTTCCGTAGGCCCCCCGCTCCTGGACCTTGTCCCCAGGCGTACCCTGCGACCCCAACCCATCGGGGCAATGCGGCGGGCGTTGGGGACTTGGGGGAGCGGGGCTTTGGGCTCTCGGAGCAATGGTGGCTGCGGGACCTGCCTCGGCGGCGCAAGGTGCGCTGAGGGGCAGGGCAGGGGCTCGGGCGTCTGCTGATAATCTCATCGCCAAGCTGAAGGACGAGCTGGGCGCGGCTCGGTTCGAGATCAGCCGCCTGCAGGGCCTGCTGGACAGTGCAGCCGCTTGCAGCACTGGCGAGACCGCGGACGAGGTCCGCCGCCGCGAGGCCATCGCGAGGCCGGCGCTGGTGGCCAGGCTTTCCGGTGTCCCGGAGCTGCTGGAGGACCGCGTGCGCCGCAACGTGTCGTGGCACGCGCTGCGCTGCCCAGCGGCCTCGGCGCCCCCCTGTGTGTGGAGGCGTGCGCAGCGCGGCCCGCGCCTCGAGGCCAGGCGTCCGCGTGGTGACATGGAGCTGCGCGCGGACGCCGACGTCTTCGTGCCAGGCGCAGGCTCCTGGGAGCCGCTGGAGAGCAGGGCGCCCTTCGCCCCGTCCGCTGTGCAGGTCGCAGATCTGGCGTGTGGCTTGCGCTGTTCGTGCGGGGCCGTGGCTTTCTTGGGCGAGTGCGTCCCGTGCAGAGCCAGCGGATGGCGGCTCGGAGAGGAGGCTCTCTCCCCCGCGAGGGCCGCGGCGGCGAGGTCCTTGCTGGACGCGGTGCGCGGGAAGTTCGAGGCGAAGTACTCTCTGGGCGGCGAGCCACTTGACACCGAACCAGTTTTGCATGCTGGCGACGCGGCGTCGCGCCGCTCCCCTGGCTGGTGGCTTGCGCGCGCGGCAGTCGCCAGTGTCTGGCTGGAGCCATCGCTGGACGATATCCATGTCCCCGAGCCTGCGGGTGGCGCGCTGTGGGAGCCGCGCGGGCTGCCACCCGACCCAGGAAAAGGCCGCCTTTTTCTCGTTTGACTAACAATTTTCATCTGTTGTGGGTGCTGGCTCAGGTGTCTATTCTCGGTATTCGTCTCTCGGATTGGTTGAGTTCGCCTTCCTCAGTGGCCTGCATCCTGGTACTTGTCATTGTCTTTTTTCGTGGGAATGGTGCTTGTCGTGCAAAGCGAAGCAGGCCTCCACGAGCAGGGCCTGGTTGTTGTCTTCTGGAGGTTGTCGTGCTTATTCATGTCGAGGGTGGCAATTCGTAGGGAATGGGCTCTGGTTTGTGCAGTATCACAGGCAGATGCTAAATAAGGAGGCGTCTCAGCTCCGTGTCATCGCGGTCCGCTTCCCAGACACGTTCTGCCGTGTGGACTCGTTCGGCATCTTCGTGGAGTGGGGAGTGGTCTCGATCTCTTCTGAGGCCTGTGCGTTGCTGCCAATAAAGAGGAGGAGGAGGAGGAGGAGGAGGAGGAGGAGGAGGAGGAGGAGGAGGAGGAGGAGGAGGAGGAGGAGGAGGAGGAGGAGGAAGGGTTCGACGCTCGAGGCTCAGGGCTCGAGGAGGCCCGAGTCGCCGCAGCCACTGCCCGGGCGGGCCCTCCCTCCCCCGTTCACTCTACTCATCCCTGCTCCCTCCTTTCCCCCCCCCCCTCTGGGGCGATGGAGGGTGACGTCGACGTGGCATCCGCGGCGCGTGGGCAGCGGCGGCGGCGCCAGGTTGGTGGTGAGGGCGGGGCCATGCAGGTGGACGAGGACGGGGCGGGCGCCGTGGAGTCGGCAGCAGGACCAGCCTGGGCCATCTCCGCCCCTACGTCGCGGAGCATGGCCATGTGCGCGACGTGCCTCGGAAAGGTCCCCGCCAGGGCGCCTCGAGTACGCCGCGGCGGGCCTGGCGCACGGGTGCACCACATAGGGTGTGTGGCCCACCTGTGCGGCCCGGTCGAGGGTCTAGCGGGCTGGGCTTTCCTTCGCCCGGAGAGGCAGCTCGAGGCGCAAACTGCGTACGCAGCTGCGGGAGGAATGCGAGGAGGAGGAGGAGGAGGTGGAGGAGCAGTGCCTGGAGCAGCCGCCCCCGCCCTGGCTGAGGAGGCCGCGGCTCCGCCGCAGCTGGAGCCGGGCGACGCGGTGCAGTACGGACAATTGCTGCACATGGGCTTCTGGGACGGGATCTCCTGGGAAGAGCTGCACGACCCCATCCCTACGGTCCGCGTTGTGCCGGAGGCCGTCCGCTACGCGATTGCGGACCTCCGGAAGGCCGTGTGCGACGCCGTGCTCGGAGCGAACGGGGGGCAGGAGGAGGCGCGGAACTTGAAGGCCTTTTGCTTTCTGGATCGGCTGCTTTTCGCGACGGCGCGGAAGAGGAGAGGAGGAGCGCGAGGCCAACGAGGAGAGACGCTGGCGCGGACCCTTGCCAGACGCACCAGATTGGCTTGGGAGGGTGCGTGGGGCGTGTTGTGGCAGGAGTCGGCGATGCCACGCCCTGAGGAGGGCAGCGTTGCCCCGACGGAGGCACAGCAACTGGCCAGAGACGTCGCGAGTGTGGCCGAGGCCTTCGCTGACGAAGACCTGCGGGAGGCTTTGAGGGTCGTGGACGGCAGGCTCGAGCTGGCACCCGACGCGAAAGCTCGGCGATGTCTCCCAGACCTCTTCCCCCGAGCTGAAGCTCAACCAGTGCTGCCTGAGAGCCGGCCGTCGGAGGAGGACACCGCAAGCTTTCTGGTGGAGCTGCAGAAGGCGTACCGCCACGCGCCTCGCAACACAGGCGCGGGCCCCGGCGGGTCCAGGAACGAGCACTGGTCGTGGATGCTGGGGTACTCGGCGCCCTGGGAAAGCTTCGCAGAAGTAGCGCTCAAGCTGCAGCTCGGACAGGTGGCCGCGGAGGTCCACGGGCCATGGCTGTCGGCGCGCATCCTGGCAGGCGACCGGGAAGAGCGGGACAAAGTCCGCCCCTTCGCCTTGGGGGGCGTGCACAGGAGGGCCGCGTCCAAAGCAGTCGGCCGCGTGTTCCGCAGCAGGGTCGCGGCAGCCCTCGGGGGCAAGGAGTACTCAGTCGGGGAAGCACGCGGGGCGGAGCGCATGCACAAGGCGGCCCTCCTGGACCTCGACACCCGGCCTGGGTGCTGCAAGCTCGCACTGGACGTGAGCAATGCCCACAGCGAGTTTTGCCGCGAGGCCGCCGCCAGGGCGGTTCAGGAGTTGGTCCCTGACCTGCTCCCGTGGACCCGCCTGGCCCTGAGCACCGCCACCGAGCACGTTCACGTCGCGCGGGACGGCACGAGGACGCAGCTCCCGAAGGAGCGCGGCGGAGACCAAGGGGACGGCCTGACCAACATGGTCTTCCCGCTCTGCTACAAGAAGGTGGTGGATGCTGTCGAGCGCGCGGCGGGCCTCGAAACGGACCCTGGGAGGAACTACGCCTACCAGGACGACCTCGACGTCGTCTGTGCCACGGCGGCCGCGCAGCCCGCTGAGGAGGCGTTCGGGCGGGCCTGCGCCGAAGTACGACTGCGGCCCAACCCGTCGAAGACCAAGCTGAGTCCTGGCAGGGAGGTGCCGGTGGCCGCGTTGACGGGCCGGTGGGAGGTGGAGCCGCGGGCGCTCGTCCTAAGGCACGGGGCCTTCCCGCCGGTGCCCGCGGCCCCTGCTGTCGCCCCAGCCGCCGGGAGCATCCTGGCCGAGGGGAGCCCAGAGGTGTCCGCGCTGGCAGAGAAGCGCGCGCGCTTCTTCCTGCGGCTGCGCCAGCTGCAGGCGGCGGGACTCGACCGACAGACTGCTGCGGCGCTGCTTCGACTCAAGACGGGTTCTGACTACGCGTTCGTGGCCCGCGCTTGTGGCATCCCGGAGGCTGAGGCCCGGGCCATGGGCGCAGCGCTAGCGGCGGAGGCGCAGCACGCCCTCGGACTACAACAGCTGAGCAGCACGGCGGGCAAGCAGCTCTTCCTCGCTGGGAAGGACGGCGGCGCTGGGTTCCAGAGCGTGGAGCTGACCGCGCCTGCCGCCCACGCCGCTTCCTGGCACCACAGCGTGCCGCACTGCCTGAGCAGGCTGGGACTGACGGACGCCAGCGCCCTGGCCGCCCTCAGCCCCTGGGCGAGGCGCTGCCTCCCTGCGGCCACGGCCACGCTGCCGGAGGCGCTGGGGGACACTACGGCCCAGGTGGGCGACGAAGGACTGGCAGCAACGCAGCACTCACTGGCTACGGCCCCACTTGCTGCGGCTGCCCGCCTGGTCGCCGACCTCGCGGCAGGCGAGGGCCCTCCCGCGGCGGCCGCCTTGCGCTCGGCAGGAGGGCCAGGGGCGAGCGGCTGGCTGCAGGCCCCCACGAAGGCGCGCCACCGCCTGAGCAACGCGCAGTTCAGCATCGCAATGGGGGTTCGCCTGAACCTCGACCTGCCGGGCTGCACTGGGCTCTGCCAGCACCGCCACCCCAATGGCGGGACTTGCGGCGCGCCGCTCGACCCGAAGGGCAGACACGCGCGGGCCTGTCCGGTCGGCGGCTGGCTCGTCCGCCGGCACGACGCGGGGTGCGCAGCGCTCGCGGAGTGGTGCGAGGCGCAGGGCTGCTCGGTGCACCGCGAGGCGCTGCTCCCGCACGCCTCTCCGCAGAGCCCCGAAGCGCGCATGGACCTAGTAATCCACGCGCCCGGCGCCGTTGGACCGCT